AAAATGCCCAAGTCCTTTAGGTCTACCTCTACCTCTCTTAACTTAAGCCGAATCTAATACATCTACTTTCCTAACATGATCTTTAGATGGTCGATGTGTAATGTGACCAAACCATCTAAGACGACTCTCTCTAATCTTGTATAACTGGAGCTACTCCAACTCCTTCTTGGATATATTCATTTCATAATTTGTCTCTAAGTATAAAGCGACCCATCCATTTAAACATTCTTATCTCAACAACACTTAACTTTGTTTTATGATTTAACATTCTACACAATAAAGCATTATAGGTCTCACCACATATTATAAATATTTTCTTTAAGTCTATCATAGAAAAGGCTCGATGCATTCCTCCACTTCAACCATCCAACTTTCCTACCTCCACAAAAATGCTACCTAGACACTACCCTTAAATCCTAAATTCCTGACCAACCTTGATTTATCATCTTATATCCACCAAAATCTTATTCGGGAGGTAAGAATACCATGTAGCCAAGGAGAAACCCTCAACGAGGTGTATAGGAACTTACCATATCGGATATGCAGCGAAAAATCTTCCAACTGAAGCAAAGGCTTGCTGTCTTGTGAGGAGACAATCAGGTGAGATCATCTATAACCACAATGATAACTCATCAGATCGAGAAGAGTAAGTGAATCTCTTCCACTAGGCATTTTCTAGTGACAAAGAACCACTACTTCGACAATTCAACATGGAATATCAGAGAAGCTAGGATCCGAGAGGAAAAGTGGATTTACTAGATTTCAAAGGTCGCATGGATCCGGATGAGTTTATAGAGACATCGAATAGTTCAACAAATTTTTTTGTACAAGAATATTTCTGAGGATAAGAGAGTTAAATTGACAACCAGCAAGTTCAGAAAAATGCTTTGTTGTGGTGGGAGAACCTGAAACCTATACAACATCGAGAAGGGAAGTGTAAGAGTGTAAGATCATCATGTGGTCTTTAGATGAAAAGAAAGATGTATCAAAAATACCATAAAGCTCCATAATCTCCGCCAAAGAAATAGTTCTGTGAAGGAGCATACCGCTGAATTCGATCAACTCATGCTGAAATGTAAGCTGGTGGAACTAAACAAGCACACAATGCCAAAATATCTTGGAGGATTGAGGTCATTTATTAGTAATGTGATTCAGTTGCAGTCTTATTAATCATTACTTGATGGACAAATCCTAGTAGCATTGAAAGTTGAGAAACAACAATGTCACCAGATGACCGTCATATCATACAGGAAAAGTTCAATCACAGGATCAAACATCGAGAAGGGCAAGAAAGATGTATAAAAAATGCCATAAAACTCCACAATCTCCACCAAAGAGACAGTTTTGTAAAGGAGCATACCGTTGAATTCGTTCAACTCATGCTGAAATGTAAGCTGGTGGAACTAAAGAAGCACACAATGCCAAAATATCTTGGAGGGTTGAGGACATTTATTAGTAATGTGATTCAGTTGTAGTTTTATTAGTCCTTACTTGATGGACGAACCCTAGTAGCATTGAAAGTTGAGAAACAACAATGTCACCAGATGACAATCACAGGACCAAACAACAAAAGTACATTCAATGGAGCACCCAAGTCGACCTAACCAAAGGAGAAACACATATAGAGTGAAGAAAAGGTGGAGATCACTAGTAATCCTAAATTTATCCCAACAAGTGATTCAAGTGCCACAACTTTGAGCACATTTCATTTAATTGTCCAAACAGTAGGGTGATATGTTTCACTGAACAAGGTGCAGTGGAGAAGGAAAGAGAGAATACTTAGAGGGGAAGAATGGAGATGAGTATCAGTTACTTACAAATGAGGGAGAGATGCTTGTAAAATGAAGGGTCTTCCAAATTGAGCCCACGAGAGAACAACAGTGGCTCTTCCACAACATATTTAAAACTTGCAGAGTTGTGCAAGAAAAAAATGTGCAAACTTGTTATAGATGGTAATCGTTATAAAATTGTGTCATCTACATAGTTGGTAGACAAATTTAGCCACACTAATCGGAAGCATTTTCAGCCATATTCTCTGATCTGGCTGAAAAAGGGGAATAAGATCAATGTTGAAAAGAGGCGCCTTGTGGAATTCTTAATGGGAGACAAGCTGCAAGATCAAGTTTGGTGTGATTTCATGTATGTGAATGCCTGTCACATTGTTTTAGGCTAACAATAGCAATATGACAGGGGTAAACTTCAAGATGGCCGCAAAAATATTCATTTATCAAGGACGAGGAGTGAATTATAAATTTTCCATTGAATGAGTAAGTCATGATGGGTACACTGACAGGGACAAGAACTTTAATGGCCCATGCCACATTTCTATAGGCTATTAGAGAGGCACTGGTGAAATTGACCTTGGTGATGCTAGAAGACAGTGTCATGGAAAAGAATATCTGAGGCTGTTTTACCCTCATTTAGGTAGTTTCAAGATTCTCTGAACTTCAATTTATCCCCTAGTTTGCCACATTGAGAGCAGCCAAACATATCATCAATTTAAATAGAAATGAGAAGTCCTTGCAAGTTTTGGAAGGCTCTATGGGCGTTAAGTTCCAGTTCAGTTCAACAGTGCATCCTCCAACAGATGGTTAAACGGGAGGGGCAAACCAAAATGTTGGAAATCTTCTTGGAAGTTTGGGTGAGATACAGGTCCTTCCACGAAGGATGAAGCTTCTCCTAGCCTGAGAGAATGACGAGGGAGTGTAACGATGGAATTCCATGATCCAGTCTCCATAAGATTTCCACAACTTGCGAGATCCACGGAATCAAGTGGACCCAGAGGGTGATTCAGTCTATAAGACAAGCGAATGAGCCGCTCAGTTTTCCCTACATTCAACATATTTCCTTCCATTTGATTTATTTCTTATTCCTTTATTTCAGTTTTCTTTATTTCTTATCTTTCTTATTTTTACGTAGGATTTTTATTTTAGGGGTTATTTAAATGCTTGTGCCATTTTCTTGTTTAGAGGACCTTTATTGTGTTGGTGAGTTTTGGAGATTGTAATACCTGATATCTATCCTAATGAGTGTTGTATCATTTTTCTTTTGCAAGTGGTGTGTCTGTAGCTTGTGCAGGAATAAGGGATTAACCTCATCGCTTCCTCTAAGTCATCGATTTTGAGTTTCCTTGTTGTTTTCAGCGAGGATAGCTCTCGACGACGAAACTCATGTCCAATAATAGATTTATCCAAATGTTGTTGAACTGGCATTTACCTTTCGCTTGCCATTCTTCAACCACATCCCTGCTAAATAACATTCTAAAATATCTTCTAGGAGCCCTAGAATGGTATCAGAGATTTTCGAGGCTCACAGGTTGAACTAGGATTGAAATGGTTTATGTGATAAATATTTGACAAAATAAATAGAATTTGAACACAACCAACAACTTTAATAATTATAAATTTAAAATTTGATTTCAACTCATTAAGATGTAATTGTACATGTATTATAAATAGATAAATATAAATTTAAGTATGTTAAATGTATTTGAAAAGTAAAACTAAATATCTATAATATGTATATATAAATACAAAAATAATTTACTCTCATAATATAAATCATATTAATAGTGTTTTAATAATTAAGAAAAAACAGAGTTTACAGTACTAAAACTTTAAAAGTTCAAATTTTATTATAATATTCTATATCATGCAGCCCATTTAAATATTTCCAAAACCGAACCTAATTTTTCTTTTTTGCAACCCAATTTTTATTTCATCACTCATACTTTTTTAGTTTGACATCATGAAAAAAGACTAGCATGTTGCTATTTATATAGAAAAAAATAGCTTTGCAGCTTGAAATCCTTAGTCACCAAGATGATGGGCAAGTAATTAAGTAGTTTGATTAAACTTGTATTTATTAATATATTTAAGATTTTAAATTCATAATTATATAGTTGACATAATATAATCTATAAAATTAAGTCTTATATTAAAAATTGTAATAATTTAATTGAGAATTAATGAAAGTTAAATAGGTAAATTGGATCAGTTGGTTCTAAAATTGTGACCAGTTCACCAGCTTTTCAGTCCAACCGGCGGTTTACACGCAGCTTAATTTGAGAGTGATTCTTGAGGTTTTATGCACTGGCCATACGCTAGGTTCACGGACAATGGTTGAATCGGCTGGTCAGGTCCGATTTTTAAAACCTTGGCAATAACAGTCTTGTCCTGTCAAAGAACGGTTTGCAATATGTCTATTAACAACCCGATTGTCTTCATTGGTACTGATTTTTGTTAGGTGGAGAATATGTCATGTAATTACGTTGCTTGAATTGTATTTTAGTGTGTTCTCTTCTTGTCAAACATGATTGATCCTTCTATTTTAGAAATAGTTCTTTGATTTGCTCTTTGGAATAACAATAACGATTACTATTGAATGTTTGTGAATACCAAAAAAGTGTTTAAATGTTTATTGGGAATTTCTATTAAATCATGGGCACATTTAATTGATCTTCTTTATCATATTGGACAAATAGCTTTCAGAACCTGAGTATTTACAAAAGTAAAAAAATTTCTGCATAATATTTCTGGCTTTGCGGTTTTCCTAATCCAGGTTTCCTGCTCACTCTCAATGTCTGAGTTTTGTTCCTATATTTCTACATGGGGCTCACTTTGTTGCTTCCGAAAGAAAAGCAATGTTTTAAGAAGTGATGGTTTTTTCTTTGTTGTGTAAAAAACAAAACTGATTATTTTTCAGGGATTTTAAAGGTGATTATATAACTTAAAATTGATATTGATCATGAAACCAAATAATGGAATTCATTAAATTCATCGATTTTTCGATCCTGCTTTCTAATTTCAACTAGCCAAACGAGCCTTTAGAAGGTTTTACATGTATCAAAAAATTTGTGGATTGTATTTGAATGCAGTTATAAAAATTTTATGAATCAAGGTAGAATTTTAGTGCATCATATGCTTGTCCTTACCTCCTTTTTCTAAAGCATCAATGATTTTAGCTGTGTTTTCTATCTTTTAACCATCAATCTTCTGTAGGTTGTTGGTGATACTGCTATTGAACTCCATGAGGGGATTCCAATTAAAGGATTAGAGTTTGTGAACTGAAAAATGATTCCTTGCAGAGAAATCTTGTTTTAATTTCGCAATTTTTTTTTTTTTTAAATGATTTGGTGGTCACTGCTCGAAAGAATGTATTAATGGTTGCTTTTTTTCAGTTTTTGCCAGCAAAAGTAAAGCTTCTGCCGCATTCTGCTATTATTGCCTTGTAAACGTACGTAATATCTTTTTAATATTTTATGTAGATATTTTTTAGCTCTGAAAGACGACTAGTGTTTGTTTGTAGTATTTTGTAAAGGTTTTTGTTTGTAGTTCCGTGAAGAATAGTTTTTGGATTTTAAAAACGGCATGTGATTAATTATATGTCTGCTTTTAAGCAGAGTATTCAGCTAAAGTCATCATATAAACTGAAAAAAGTTTGTCAGCATTTAATTGAGCAATGAAAAATGGTGTTCAACTCTATCAAAATATTATGATTTTGTTGTCTGATGTCTTGCTGTACCCATCGAGTGTTTCAAGTTAATCTAACCAATTGGGTTAGTAATTATGGGTTATTTTCTTTTATATATGTTAGGTTTTGGGAATTCATAATTGTTGGTAAAGTTCAAGAAATACAAAGGTTTTTATTATTATTATTTTTATTATTTATAATTGTTTATATGAATGGAAGAGATGATTTATTCTTATGTCTTGGTTGCCTCATTTTGAAAATAGCTTAGGTGTGTGAGCATGGTTGTTGTAGCTTTGTTTGAGGTATGGTATGGCCAACTTTGTTTTTCACAAGTGAACTTGGGCTTATCATAAAAGAAGTTGACATGTTATTGATGTGGAGTTGGGTTAGATCACTAATCTAACCCAATTGGTTGATGAGAGTCTCCTAAGACGCTCAAGTATTAAGAGGGATAGATAAGTCAATTGATTAGTCGGGTTAAGTATGTAGCAGTTGTGGTGATTTAAAATAATGATTCTGGTTTTTTATCCAGAACATATAATTCCAGCTTGTTTCCTTAAGAATTTTGTTTACAAAAATTCAAATTTAATAAATTAAGCTTGAATTGTAGGGAGTTGAGCATACTATGGGACTTGAATGTCTAATAAAGTTTGGAGAAGATTTGATTGTGGAATTGGCTTCTAAAGGGGATATATGGTCGGTTTATCAAAAATAGACAAAATTATGATTTTTGTTAGGGTTTGTAATTAATTTAGTGAAATTTAAGGATTTCCCTTGGAAAAAGGTTATTAAGACCCTAATTTTATGAGTTGTATGTTGAATATTTTTTTGATATTTTCCAGAGAGAACAAATGTTTAAAAATAGAATTAAAGACAACTAGGGCTTACACTTGAGGGATTTAGTTTTCTAGAATTTCAGCTATAATGACCCCAAATATATTACAGATATTATAGATGGATATGATTTAAGATGTTATGAAAATTTTGAATGTAATTAGCCTTTAATTATACAGTCAATAGGAGGAAACTTATAATTACTCCAAAATTTCAGCCGATTGACGAACTCTTCAAGTAAGCTTTAGAATGGGAATCAAAGAAAAAAGATTTTGGACTTTTTTTTTTTTTTTTGAAAACATAACAGAAATATGAATTCATAAATGTTACTTAAAATTTACAAGGAATTTTGCAAGAATGTAAAAATTTTTACTCACTCAAGCAAGGAATACAAGTGTTACCCAATCTCTTGTTAGTGCCAGCCGCGAAGCTTCCTTCAATCACCTCGGATTAACTCTAATTTTGCACAAAAATGTTATCTCCCTTTTACTCGAGAATTTAGAAATCTTAGACAAAATATTTCTTTCAAAATGCACATACTGCAAATATTAAGTACTGAAAGGACGAAGTTAGATTGGCACTTTGAGTTAGTAAACATAATGCCACTTTTATTTTCTTGCTTGACCGCCGTTCATTGTGGACTTTGACCTCCAGCTAACTATGGAACATGCCACCTATATAAGAATGTTAATCTATGGTCTACAATTATAAGAGATAAAGTCACAAACTCACAATAAAAAGAAAAAAAAACACAAAAATATATACATTATGATATAGAATAAATACATATATCAACGGCTTAAAAGAAAAATGTCTTCAAATTAATATTTATTCTTTACATTTGACTTCTGATGATCATCGGGCCATTTGAATGTGAAACAATTCTTCAGATTGGGTTCTAGTAGGCCTCACATTAGTATGGTCAGACTAGGCGCAGTAGCTTAGATGGATGCATCAATACATACATATGTATGCATATATAGATACACACATATACATATATATATAATGCATGCATGTATCCATGTACATGTTTGTATGCATGAATATATGCATGCATGTATGCATTTACATTTATGTATGCATGAATGTATGTATGGGTATTAATGTATGTATGGATGTATGTATATGTATGGATGTATGCATGTATGCATGTATGCATGCATGTATGTATGTATGTATTATGAATGTATGTATGCATACATACATATGAATGCGTATATAGATATATCTATATATATGTATATATATATATATATTATTTCTAAAATAAATAATTAAAATATAACTACTTTACTTAATATCTTATTCCGAATACATTTAAATTTAAATGCACTTCCAATTTTTAACACTAATTCTATTCATGAAATTTAATTTATGTCAAATAAAATTAAATTAAAATAACACACATAAATAAAAACATTAAACCTTATCTTCTCTTTCTCTGTCGTCAACTTCACTTAATTTCCAATCCAATTATCTTTCATCCTCTACTTCCTATATTAATCAATAAAATAAAAACTAATCATTAACTTATCATTGTTTAATTGACTATAAATAAATTTTCAAATAAGCACTATTGTTTTGTTACAAATTTTCTTGTTTTCTGCTCCAACTTGAAAAGTTCTTCTTCCTTTCCTGGTTAAGATTATAATAACAACTAAATGCTATATAATTGGAATTTTAATCATTAAATAAATAAAAAGTGGACCCTAACCTTACTTCCTTTTTTCATAAGCATTGATCTTGATCTCTCATAGTTGCTTGTCTAATTAATCACTCGTATTAGTTGCTAAAATTTAAATAAAATTTAATTACATTTAATTAATTTACAAATAATTTATATAAAAAAAGATTATAAACCTTCACTTACATTTTCTTTTATTTTTCGATCACATCTCCCGCATGTGAATCAAACCCTCATGCACACCTAGCCGTTTCCTTTTTTTGCACACAATAGCTTGTTTGCTCGCAATGTTGCTCCAAAAAGAAGTTGCAATGCTCGTTGGGCTTCGAAGTGTCGACATTCAATTTCGTCCCACCAGTTCTCTTTATCTCCCTCCCTCCCACACGGACGTGCCACACTCGACATTATCTCCCAACACAACACCCATAGTGCACACGTTGAATCCTCCTATGCACACAAGTGGTGTCAGCTTCCCTTCCTTTTACTTCTTCTTTTTCTTCTTTCTTCTTTTTTATCTCAGTCTTAGTCTCCTACTCTTACCTCTCTATTCCATCTTGTTTAAAATAAAGACAGTCATCTCTTATTTAGACGAACCATTAACACAATTAGTTTGTACCGACATTTTTATTTATTTATTTTATAGAGGTTATAATCTCTCATCCTTGTACAAATTTTGTCATCAAAATTTAAAAGAAGTTGTAAAATAAATATACCTCAATTGAATAAATATTGATACTATTCTTGTATATTTAAAACATTTTCCCAAGTAGCATTTTTTATGATACAAGCTTTTATAAAATCTTTACAAATGAAATATTTCTATTACGAAGCTTCTTAGCCTCATAATCTATTATTATCTCAAGCTCTTCTATATAAGTCAAATCAAGTTGTATATCAATTGAATCAACAATCACTCTATTTGATTAATCAACAATCACTCTATTTGATTAATCGACAATATACTTTTTAAGTTAAGAAATGAAAAACATTATGTATTCACTGCATGGAAGCTAGTACAACCAATCTGTAAACTACCTTTCAATCGTTTTCATATATTCATATGAATCAACATATCATGGACTGAACTTTCCTATCTTTCCAAATTATTTTACACCATTCAATGGATTAACTTGGATTAAAAAAAGAGGAAAAACTCTCTAACATCAAACTCAACTGCTCCATGTATAGAATAATAATATTCATTAGTCTTTCTTGCAGAATCATTAATCTAACTCTGATAAGTTGAATATTTTTCTAACTCATAAAGATTACGTACTAAATTTACACCAATGGCTTTTATTTCATTTTCTTTTGGCTAACAAAATGGTGTTATGCAATTTCTTTCATAAATAGCTTTATATGGAGTAATTCAACTGCACTTCTGATAAATGTTATTATAAACAAATTCTATTAAGGATACATGATAATCCCATCCTCCACCAGAATGTGCACATAAAGGAGTAAATCCTCAAAAGTTTGAATAACTCTCTTTGATTGGACATTTATTTTTGGGTAAGAAGTTGTATTAATATTCAAACTTGTACACAAAGCCTCGTGAGATTTTCTCCACAATCTAGATGCAAGTCTATCATCTTCAATAGAGACTATGAATTTTGGTACCCTAATGCAACCACATAATCTTATTTATGTATAAACTTGCTAACTTTTTCACAAGATCTGTCTATCTAATGGGCAAAAAAATGTGTGACTTAGTCAATTTATCTATAATAACCTAAATAGTATCACATCCTTGTCAAGATCTAGGCAAAACTTCTTGGCTATCTTCTCTCACTTTTATTATGGTATTGGTAATGGTTGTTACTGACCATCTAGCCTTTTGATGCTCTGTTTTTAGTAGTTCACACATAGGTCATTTAATCACAAACTCTGCAACATTTCTTTTTAACTTTTGCTACAAAATTATCTATTTGAGCTCGTGATATATTTTATTACACCCTAACTGAATAGTATAACAACACAAATGTGCTTCCTCTAGAATTTTCACCCAACTCATCCATATATAGAACATAAATCCTACTTTTGTATTTCAAAAAATAATCTCCAAGTGCCTACTTTGACTTGCTTTAAGATTTTCTAAATAATACTATCTCTAATTAGTAAATATAAGATTCTGCCTTTTAAAGTAAAATGAATTGTTAGCGTATTTAAATGAAAAATATTCTATAATCAATCACTCATAACTTTAATCTTTTCATATTCTTGATTAAATATTCTTGCTAAAAATTAAACAATTTAAACTAGTTGTAGCTTTCCCACTTAATGCGTTCACA